ATTAAGTCAAGTCAATGGGCGAGTTCAGGGAAGCAGTTCAGAAGGAGAATATACGATCGTTTATTGGCGATTGTCACTGATGATGAGCGATAATACAAAACGTCAAGCCAATTAACGCCATATTCCAGCGACCGCATGTTCTTTTGAACCAGAGGATCTGGTCTCACGGTACATTAGCGCATTCCTTTGCATATCAAATCTGACGCGCAAAGAGTCATGATTTTGAAGCCTGCCAACTGGCGGCATATCTCGGTAGTTCTCTGAGTCGGTTCGCAATTCATCCCCTTATGGCTCTCTCACTCGTGCGCCAGTTTGCGTGTGGCACGCATAAACGTGCTGTTTGATTTTACTAGGCCTTGCGTCTGCGCCTATCTCTTTTCGTTGTACCAGGCTGATGAAGGTATAGTGGGTGGATTATATGCGCCTACAGCGTGCGGGGCACGCGATAAGTGTCCTCGCTTGAAGTGTTTCAAATATTGTGTCACTGCTATAATAACTCTCCTGGATATTTCAAAGAGACACCTTGGGAAGACAAACTCGCGCAGTTTGATTAAGGAATAAACGCGCCTCCCCCAGTGAAACCAAACCTTTGATCGTTCTGTAGCCTATGAAGGCGTTAACCCTCATCACCACTACAAATTCACTGTTGAATACTATCCAAAAGGCCTATGCGAACGGCGCCAGCATATCCAATGCCCAAGAATTGCAGCCCATATTTACGTTCACATGTTTGAATAGTGCTTCTGCTACCAATCTCCCGAATCCTTTATGTTTCGAACCTTGCGTTTATAAATATACATCCCTATTATTACATTTGGTACCACATAAATAACGACGAATCCCCATTATATCGTCTTATAAAGCAGCCACCTTTAGTGTTTATGGTGTACACCGCAAATAAGTAAAATTAAGGTACGTTTTAGTACATTATTTGCGGGATAGATAGTCAAACAGCAGTCCAACTATTGTCCTACAAAGAAGTGAATTTACTAAACATACTGTTCAGGATTGATAATTAAATGTTGATATTCACTCAACCAAAGTAAGTAGCAGCCGTGCAGGCATAGCTATGTCATTCGCAAACCACAATATTTATGCGGGATCCGAACCTTCATGAAGTCCAGAAAAACCGACTTTGGACTCTACTTCAAGGAACCGTATGATGCTAGGCCGGCTGTTAATCGACCAAGGCAAACCAACGTACTTCGTCGGTGTTTCCTTGCACAGGCGCCTAAATCACAACTGGTTGATGTTGTGAAGGTAGCCAAAGCCAGGATGTCACCGCCTAATTACGTCTTGTGTGAGCCCCTAAGGAAGAACACGACAAGCAGAGCGCAAAAGCAGAAGTCTTTGAGCATAATTAGTACAACATATTTAGGGTAACAAACACGTGTAAAGCTACGTCCATCGGGCCAATCAGTTTTTGTCCTGGCGTAAGTAGCGACACGATTGGCTTGTGACTCAACGGCTGGCTGCAGCTTTGCATTTTAAATTATTTATTGATTGCTTGCTTGCCAGTCTGCGTTCGCTGCGTGTAGGCCGATCGATAGCCTGCTGTGAGCGCGGCTCACTACCTGCATGCTGGCTGCCTGCTAGCTGTCCGTTAGGCTCATCCTAACAGATGACACAGCATGAGCGAAATTGCCTAGATAATTAATAAGGATTTATCAATACGCGTAGCCAGATTGTTGCTATCACTGCCGATACGCCCTCTAAAGCCTGGCACATTTTTCGGTCTATGCGTTTAAAACATTATCACCAACCTGATAGTTGCCGTCCTCCTAGGTACGTAAATCTTTTGCGGGCATACTTATCGATCCAAACAGTCCGTATTAGCAGCTGCTGATGAAACATCGTTAAGTGACAGCCAGTTCTGACTGCTTCATAAATGGGAATATATCCTGTCAACAGAGATCCGAACTGCTCGTGATGTCAGATCACTTCCAACTTCGCACAAGACGAAGTCTGAGTCGGATATAAAAGGGCCCTATCTAAGATGGTGTTAACTTCCCCGCACTTTACAGTGCTAGAGACGCCTTTTTAAAAAAAAATTTTACCTCCTCCCCTCTAGTGCGTTCCTTACATTGTTTTGTGCCTTTTAAGACGTCTGCGCCGTTGCACCCGATTGGATCC